AATTCAATTCCTTTGTCGATCGACAATTGTGGAAAAAGAAACGCTGGATTAAATCACTGATATTTCTAACAATGGAAAATAATTTATTGTTATTCGGATATATCAAGATCGCTTCGTTTCACTGACCTACAAATGTGTGAGTATCGATGCATTGATACTCGATTTATGAAGAAATGCTATATACAAAATATAAAAATGTTGATTTACGCGATGGCGGCTTTCTCACAATCAGCAGTAGAATTTAACGCCTTTAGTCTCAGTTATTGTTGAGTTTATCCACTATGTGTCTTGTGCAATATAGAGCCGTGAGAAATACACGGCGGACGAGAAGGAGGAGGATGCGGACGACGCGCACAAGAGGCGTATAGAATCCTTAGTCGGGACTCGGGACTCGGGCACGTCGCGACGGTGTCGTACAAAGCGTATTCCGCGTCGCGGTGGCGTACACTATGGCGCTACTACTACACAGTGTCTCGGGACGGGAAGCCATTTCCTTGAGAAAAGTGAGACCCATTTCGCGCTCGTATTCTCGGGATAGCGTTCCCCGACACCGGGCGCGGGCGGTGCGAGCGGCGGGTTAACGTAGAGGCGTAAATTTTGGTAAATGCGACCACGTAAAGCACGTTCGCCTGCAATGACGGCGCGCAGTGCGACTTCACCAGCGTGCGCGCTCGCCTGGCTGCTGCAACGCGTCGCGACATCCGCGACGACGACGACGACGACGACGACGACGATGATGACGATGACGACGACGACGGCGTTCCAGTCGGCCACATAATGCCTTATGCATAGCGAACAAATTGAACCGCGAGAACACGGTGCGCGAGACACGGAATGCTAACGAGAAAACTTGCCGTGCGCAAAAAAGGAAAGAAAGATAGAAGGGAACGGAGGACGCGACGATGTTCCGCAAGCGTGGGATTCGGAGACGGGATTTCAGAGGAGAGAGACAGAGGGAGAAAGAGGAAAAGGTAGAGAGGTAGGTAACGCGATATTGTTGCCGCTACCGCTTGCGGCGGCGACGAATGCATCGCGTGGCGCCCGCGGGAGATTATACCCGCGGAATATCAACGAGAACGCGCGCGCGTTGCCGTTCGATCGATCGATCCGCGGAATTTATAGTACCGATGACGACGCGAGGACGTGACGTGTCGCGAATCATCCCTCCTTCGGCGCCGCGATGACGGAGTCGGGATAAATCAGCATCCCGGGATAAATTTATATTAGATATATATATGCTGACAAGTACGCGCGCGCACGCGCCGATCCACGGATCCTCGTTGCCGAGCGAAGAAATGAGATGTACAAAGATTAATTACTTCAGCACACTTTGCCGAAGTCATTAATTTTTATTATGGCCCTTAGTAATAAATATAATGGCGAAGAAGATATCGTTCTTCATTTCGTTAAAATAAGGGAAGGTAACTAGCGTCAGTTTTTTTGAAAGTGTTAGAAAGATGAAGAAGAAGCGCGCCGCCGTAAATCCGCGCGGATGTCATCGGAAAAATGGAACGTGGCGGGAGGGAAAGGGGCCGAGCGCGTAATAAAGCTCGCTTAATTAGCATACGAAAAGATGCGACCGCGCTCGCGATAAGGTCGAGCGTTTTATTTTGCGATCTCGGAAGCGACGACGGATATAAGCGCGAAAGCGTGTGGCTTAATGAATCCCGGGATGGAGCATTAAGCGCTATCGCGTTTTAACGCTTAATGCTCCATCGTGGATGATACTTTCGATAAAGTGTTTCTTGCGCCATCGCTGCGATTACCATTTTTAGCGACAGCAATAACGATCGTGTAGTCGCAGGAGCGGAATGGGTTACGTCCGCTATTTAAGCTGAACATTTATTCCTCTCTAATTCAATTTTGTAATTTCCCCGAGGAAATAACACCATTAATTCGTAACTAATCGGCGTGGAGAAGTCATTTTTTGGTGTAATATAATTGTAAACGTTTTCGAAATTATTAAAAGTTTGAACGCATATTATACGAAACATACATATATTACGTAGGTACACAAAGCTCTCTGTAGTAATACGTGAATGTTACAAAATTGATAACACAATTTTGCGATTGTTTTTTTAATCATTCTAAATATCGAAAAGCGTTTATTATACAGTGAAAATCGAATATAAACGTTAGATATTTTCGCAATAAGCGTTCGGAATCGCTTTTTGAATTTATAATAGAGTTCGGTGAAACAGTTCCTATCCGGATTAAACTAACTATACACTGCATTTTGAATGAATGCACGGCGGTATGCCTCGGAAGTCCTCCCGATTCACAGAGGATTAAAGTAAAAGCGTCGTTTCGATGTCAAAGGGTCGATTTCGCTCGATCGAATTCTCCCGCTGGAAATTCTCCAAATATACGCGCGCGAGCCGCGACGAACGAGTATAAATTATTCATACTTTAATCGACCAGCCGCATAAAGAGCGATAACGTGCGTCCAGCGGGGGGGAGGGGAAGGGCCGGGCCGGTTTCTCATCGTCGGGCTTCCTGAATATTTTCGCGACGCGGACAATGAAGTCGCCGGACAAAGGCTCCGCTTTCTAATACCGCGGCTTTTTCCACTCACCCGTAACCATAGGGAGAAGAACGTACTTTCTTCCTTGTCGAGCCAGCGATATTGTTCGCTGCATACCGGCACGATGTTCACGAAGATCCGCTATTGAAAGATCGATTTTGTGCGCGGTCAGGACCGTGGCATAATAAGATATAAGAAGCAGAAAAAATACGGAATATAATGGAATAAAAGGGATTGTGAAATATAAAATAGATAGCGGGGAGAATATATTGTGAAAATTTTCGACATTCACCGAAACCTGGCGCGCAATTATTTCAGCGTAACAAATTTCTTCCCCTTTATAAAAGTGCGAAATCTTTCCTGATAAAAAAATAAATTTTAGCTCCGCCTATGACCACGAAAATTGCTCGCCGGTCAGGAAGATTCCCTTTTCCACCTCTTCTGGAGAAATTTAACGATACCCCGTGGTCTTTAACCGTGGTCGTGCTCGGCAAAGCGGACGTAACTCAGATCCTTCCTCGCAGACCCGCTGGTATTTTGCTGTCTTCCGTCTGGGAAAACTATTATTAAGAATTTAACGGATTAACGTAAGAATAAGGTATAACGCCGCATTTTCCAAGACGGATTCTCTCTTTCCCTCTCTCGCTCTCTCTCTCTCTTTCTCTTTTTCTCTTTCGCTCCTCCGCATGCCCGATAAATTGAAACGCTGCCGTTACTCCAGGATCTTTCTGAACTTTTTTGCCTTGCCGCACGGGCGACGTCGCAATTCGCTTTTGTCCTTCCTCGCCCTTTCCATCTTGCAAAGTACCGGGCGATGCCCGGCGGCGCCTTCGCTTTGTACGCAGTTAGAATTCGTGCGAGACTTCGTCGCGGAATGCCGTTATGAGAATGCAAATTTTATTTCCGTCGGGAAAGCGAGCCGGACTAGCAACAATGTTACTCGCTCCGGTAAGATCGATATTTCGAAGCCGAGACGATGTACAATCAATAGTAGCGCCACATTGCTGCGCGCTTATTAAGACTTGTTTTGCAATTTTACCGGTTTTAACGTGCACAATTAACACATGAGGTTTACCCGTACTACGATGTTATGTTATTGGCAATACGTAATCAAAATATGGGAGAAAATAAATCATAAAGTTATTGTTCGCTCTGCGAACTCGGATTGTCCTGTGATGCTACCACGAAAACTTCCACGATCGCGGCCGCAATCTTTCGTAACTCTTTTGTTTTATCGGATTCGTGGCGACGTTCCATTGCCCGTCTTTCTTCGGGTTCCTCTCTCTCTTCCTCTCTTCCTCGGAAGTGGAAAGTGCGGCGGCGGTGGCCCGCGGCGTTTAAAGCGGCCGCGTTTCTGGCCGCGCCGCGGTTTCTAATTGCGGCCGCAGTCTGGGTTTAGTGAGTTTGGAAGGGTGAAGGTGAGGCGGAGGGTGAAGGATGCATGAGAGAGAGAGAGAGAGAGAGGAGGAGAGAGAGAGAGAGAGAGAGAGAGAGAGAGAGAGAGAGAGAGAGAGAGAGGGTGAGAGGATGAGAAACCGGGGACATTGGTAATGTGCATGTGCAAGAAAGTGAGGGGGAAAATCGAAGAGTTAAGAGCACACTCGTGGAGCGAGACGTGCGAAGGAGGAGGGCAAACATATGGCGGTGAGAAGGAGAATGCAAAGCGCGGAAGAGAAAGATATGAAGAAGAAGACGAAGGATGGTGACGAAGGCTGAGGGATAGATAGAGCGGGTGGAGGGGGGGAGGGGGGAGAAACGAGAGGGAGGGATGGAGGACCGAAGATTTGGGGAACGCACGCCGTTAACCCGAGATTGGAAAGTTACCCGATCGTGTGATTGCGTTTGGACGGTTAAGTTTGGAGGGAAGGAAGCCAAGGGCGGGGCGATTCCGTCCCGCCGAGCTGCTTCGCCGTCGATTTATCCTATTTGCCGACTGATTATTGTCACGAAAATAATAAACCTATGTATAAAATACATATGGCCTTCGTCGATTTGTAATTGAAATGACAAGAAGCGCCGGAGCACTCGAGAACGGGAATGAGATTTCATTACATGTATATCAATTGAGCGTGATAAATTCTTACAAAGTGAACGATGAGGCATCTCAGATATTTGTTGAAAATGAGAAAACATAAAAGTGATTTATAAGAAATCCGAGAATTGTTCAATTCTCGGTTTATGAGAGTCGCAACCACACTTATTACTTAATCTTAAAGCAAGATATTGAAGTTTATACATCTCGTTGTCTCATTTTCTACGATATTGTTGTATATCTCTCTTTTAATTTCGAAGCGTATTTGATCCTGTTTCAAAATATTTTATAAATATCTCCCGTGTGCTTTTAAGCGTTCGTTTACGTTTGTGGAATACAACGCTTCCATAGAAAATCGATTCAAAGTGCGTCGTTAAACAGCACTTGTAAAACCCGCTTTTAATGGAATTTTTAGAAATTACATCAAGGGCTTCTCTGTTTCAGATGGGGATGTAATGAACGGCGTAATGAAAAGCAACTAAGGCTTTTATCAAGAAGCGAAACACAAAGACTAAGCACCCTTAACGTCCATGGACGGACATGCGACGCAGCTCCTTTACGAGAAAGTCGGGAGCGTCGCTGGAATTAAACAAGTAACAAAGCGTTCTGCGCTTTACGCACAGCCATTCCTGTAAGTATTAGTACGATACTGAATTCCCAGGTAAAACCCCGAATCGCCTGAATTACAGCCAGATTTTCATCGATTCAGCGCACCGTCATGTTTTTTACAAATTCGACAAATTTTACGAGTCATAATTTTCACGCGTTAATCAACGTTTCAGCTGAATTTAAAGTTAATATTTTCTCCGCGAAAGTTTGATGTTAAAGTTAAGCTTTCCATTGCAGACGTAATATCTCTATAATATGAGTTTCGTTCTCGCCCAGTGCTTTCAGTTATACCGTAATTTCCTTTAGGATTTTTAACCGCATTATGCAGTTTCGCTCAATACATTGCGCAAAGGGCGCATCATCGAAACTCGCGATGATATGCCTCGCAGTTCTCGCACAATACCGTTAAAACAATAGCCGAGAAGTTTGTTTCTGAGTGACGGCGGGCGCAAGCCACCGGCCGATGCTCAAGGCAGGAGTACGATTTTATAATATAGAGGGAGAATGCCAGTCGTTATCGGAATGAAAGCCGAGTGCCTCGGAATAGACTCCCTGTTCCCGTTCGCGACGAACGGTGGATGTTCGCGAAACGAGCGGGCGAGCACGTCGGTCGAATAGCGCACTCCAGTATTTCCCTCCTGCGGTCGGCGGGATCCGTTTAAATCCCGTCGGTAGCGCCGTACGACTAGTCCACTGGCTTCTCGACAAATTACTCGGTCCCGATAGCGCAGCAATTCCGAGGATTCCGGCTCGGTGGTCCATAGTCCTGGGACTACGACTCGTGCCGGCTCGTACACGCTCGATCCGATCGGCTGAGCAGGGTCTAATAGATGCCGCGCCTAAATCTTTCAGCGAACTATCGCCAGCTCGCAGGCGTCGCATCGCCTGACAATCTGTTTGCGAGTGTCCGATGCTCGAGAGTTATCGCTTCGAGGGCCATAAACCCGCTTCGATTGCTAAACGTATCTTTAATGCTTTGACAAGGAAGCTTAATAGCCTGTAGAATTTTATGTTCTTCAATTATTTATATTACTTGGTCAAATCTTGGCAAACAGCAATTAATTTATTGATATTTCTTGACAATTGATTAAACGATTAATTAAAACTGCGCAGCTGAAAAATATGTATTAATAGATTAAATATTTTCTTAAAATTAATTTAATATATTTGAAAGAATATACTTTACTAAACAAACATTTTTAATTTAATAAGCTTTCATTTTATAATTCCATTATTTATTTTTATTAATTAATAATTTCTTTCGCTCCGCTGTCGAGGAAAGCGAAAGGGGAAAGAGAAGTATTATTAATTATTAAACTTAATGAAACTTTTCGTTCAAAATTTATTGAATTAAAATTTTTCTTTAGAGATATTTTCTTTTGGACTGGGCATCCTGTGATCAATTATGGTTTAACTCGACTTGGCGGAAGTGTAGCGGTGAGATCGTGAATCCCCGTAACCGTTCTTATCGCATACTCGAAAAACATTTTCAAGGGAAATCGGAGGAAGAGAGAACAGATAATTCCGATTTCGGGAGCCACACAGCGCTCGCTCGATCTTATCAAGAAAGATTTCCGGGTTTGAGAGTGTTCTTCGCGCTATTTTAAGAATGATCTGCCTCTTTGTTAGAATTTCGCATCTGAGCTCCGTGCCATTATGCTAAGAGCAGTATCTGCGCGAAGAAGGTATCTAAACGAATATAAAAGCCGCGGCGTGATGTTAAAAGTCGCGCACCTTCGTTTCTGTGTAAAAATAGAAACAGCGCTTTATACCGGGAATCTATTTTCCATTTTCCGGCTATTGTCGGACGATAACAATAGACCACGACTACGTGAATTTAATAAACGACAGTATTTTTACAGAGATTTTTCAAATTAAGGAAAAGACTTCTGTAGCCGATGAATTTTAAAGTTTTAGTTTTTTCCTACATAAATGCAATATTACCTTGCATATTTAACTGCAATTATTTAGTTCATTTTCATACGTAGTATTATTTCAATCTGAACGTACTTTGTATAATGTAAAAGTAAATGCGAAAATACACATTCTACATGACTGAGAGCTAATTAAAAACGGAAATTGAATTCACATATTGCACGGATATAACGGCGTAATATCAATTACATATTAAATATTTCTACAAATAGCAACATTTCATTACAAAACTAATTGCGGTGTATGCGATTCGAAATATCGCTCATTTATCCATGATATTTCACGAATACAAGATCGAAAACAACCGCGTTTGCCTCAAAAATCCCGATGACAAGCGGTCGCGGCCGCTCGTGACCGCGATTAATCGATTTCCAAACCAGAAGTTCCTCTCTCTCTCTCTCTCTCTCTCTCTCTCTCTCTCTCGCGAAGATGGTGAAGCCAGCGGGAAGGACGATAACTGAGAGACGGATAACGAACATCTATTTTGACAGGAGATGAGCGCTGGCAGCGTCGGAGAAAGTGGGGACGGAGCGGAACGCGCCGTGCAATAGCGCACGGCGGGGTTGGCGGCGGCTTGGCCCGAGGCATACATTATGCTAAGCCGGCCATTAGAGGGTGAAATATGTTTCGCGTGCCCCAGTCAGTTACCGGACGAGCAGTAGGAAGGCATCTCCCGGCGTTCTCCAACTGCTGCGGCCTCCCGAACAAACGGCGCGCACCACCTCCGAGGCGTTGCATTACGCGGCTGCACGCGGTTCTCAGTTATTTGCAACTCTAACGACCGCTAATTGGCTCGTCCGTTCTCTACCTCGTGCTTCTACGTGGCTCGACGAACTAAGACGGACCAGTAACTAATACATTATCCGCTGCTCTCCTCGTTCTTTTGGCGCGGATGTGAATATAAGGATGCGAGTAAAATCACAGATTTTTACACCAGAATTTCTGTGTCTTATCTCCGAAATAATTTTACGTTGAAATGTTGCAAATAATTGTGTTTCGATCATGATAAAAATGATAATAGGTCAGAAAAAAAAAATGTCAGAAGTACATGATAGATTAAAAAAAAAATAATAATAAGTGAAAAAGGACAATATGTCTGGAAAATTCATCATTGTTATTGGTTTTAAATAGTTTCGATGCGATGTAACAGTGTCATATCGAGTGCAACTTTTATTGGCAGTTTCTTTTCACAAATTCAACTTTTTACTTGCAGCACTTGAGTCTTAATGAAAATGTCCCCGTTTACCATTGCCCATACTACTCATTTGCATGCTATCGAACTAAACAAAATACACAGCCCGTTGGTTAAACGTCCAATATCCGTCGCTCGTTAGTCTCCTCTTGTTTATTTACTTCTATTTGCAGCGCGCGACCTGCTTTTTTATATATGTACAAATCTGCAACGGGTGACTACGTCCATTTCAATTAATAGAACACGGTTACGACCCAGCAGTAAAAAGGAATAGCTTTCGAATCCCGATCGAATCGATAGGATCACGGGGTACTCGGCGAAATCTCATTACGGTAAATGTATGCTGGCTTTCGTGATGCACAGATAATGCCCGCCGTCGAGGAGATGTCAGCCAGATCGTACGAATTTCATGGCATCGTAAGGCACCGACCCAGCCGCCGGAGCGACCTCCCTTTATCGACATCGCAAACAAGTGATACGTCTGAAACTGTAATCAAATCGAACCGAGGGGCTATGTATTGGATACTACATTCCGTACTCAATTGTGAATCTTTGAAACGACGTATCGATAATTTTTTAGTTGCAAATAATCAAAATTAAAATTTGTTAAGAATCACTTTTCAGATGGATTAAAATTCCGTCTTTATTTCATTTGACTTCTCATCGAGTTTAATGTTTAATTATTAAAATATTTAATGTTGCAAAGGGAAAATCTACATTTTTTGCGCGAAGTGTTTAATATCTTAAGTCATTTTGAAAATGTGCGCTCGTTGCAGTTTTTATGATATCGAGTTTTATAAGTCAGTGCCTTTTGGTCTAAAAAATAAACTTTTCTGCATACGCGGAATTTAATTTCGTCTCCGGGTTTATCCCCAATAAACGAGAAACTTTCGTTCCGGGTTGGAATTAATTCTATCCGGAAAAATATTTTTATCGCAGTCGTAGCGATACGCATCGTGGGAAAACGCGCGACTTAATTAAGAATTTCCGATTGGCTATACGGCGACCATGGTAGTGCCGTTATTACAAAATGTGCCAGTACATGCTTAGGAAAAACGTGGGATTTAAACGACACCACGTGTACAAACCCCGTTCCCAAAATTACCATACTGAAACTTCGATATATTTCACCCTTGTCTTTATTTTTTATATCTTTGTAACGCAAATTAGTTAGCTAATTTAATATAGCATGGATTTATTCCCTTTTTAAGTGTTTAATACATTTAATATTAAATAGTTGAAAAATTTAACTTGAAATTAAAACTGAAAAAGATTTCTAATTAAGATCAACACGTTAATTTAAATGGGTAATAAATAGATAATAGATGATAAATATATTCTATTGTATGTAGTATAATACTTAACAAGTATAATACGTACAAAGTATAATACGTAAAATGTGTTTTATATTTAGTCATTCAATTTTGAAAACTATTTACGTTTCGGTATTTCGAATCAGAAGAAAATAATTTCAGATTAATTAAAGAAAATCTGTCATTCAAAGCAAAGTCGGCGATCAATCAGAGTTTCTTCTGTAATATTCTAGTTATTATTATACTATCGATATAAATGGTTGTCAAAACTCTTATTCGATCGCGAAGATTAACTGATATCGTTCAACGGGAAACTCATTGGAGGCGCAAAATACGAGCAGGTGAAAAGATTAGGAATAATCGGCGGCGCTTCATCAATTACTAGTAATAAAGCGCTCGACAATAGAGAATATCGTCGAGACAGATTGCCTCGCGCGAAAATATTTTTCTTTTCGCCGTCTCTCCCACGCTGTCGGTGGAGATACTTTCGTCGCCATTACTTACGTCGTTCTCGAGAGGTCCTGCGCTTAATATCACATTGCTCTTCTACACAGCGCGCGCGCGTCTGCCGTTGGAAGATAA